TCAAATATGCTGACTTTTATCAGAATACAAAATGCTAATCTGTAATTGATATGATACTGTTTTAAGATTTTACTCGTGTCAGATCACCTTTTATAGAGGTACAGCAAACTAAAAATATTATCTGTGTCATTTTGTTTTCGATTGTTCGCTAACAAAAACTCGTGAGTTGTCCGATGAACACGGTACTTTAGACTAAATTATAAGAACTCATTCTATCTTAATTGACCCCCATAGTTCTGACTTTGTACTCTTTGCAACCTTTTATAACGTAAGCTCTTTTTGGAGGTATGGGCTACTACTTGGGCATCGCATTATGACATGCGTCAAATACTGTGGACTCGTTTGTCGTCTAATCTAAAGGACACTTTATTAACTCTGTATAGGATGCTTTCAGTACACAAAATACAACTGTAAAAGGTTATTAGTTATCAAGTTCAAAAATTTCCTCTTTCTCCAGTAGAGCTAACTTCAGAATGCTAAATTTATGTAAATAAATAACGAATAGAGGATGATCAATTCCGAAATATTCGTAAGCTGGTCAATAGCCTGAAGAGGGGATTTATCATATTAGTACTATAAATTATTAATTTATCGTATTAAGGAACCGTATCTAATTAATCATAAGATCGTGAGAGCAATAATATCTATTGCACAATTCGAATTTCGCCATAAATTGAATTCTCATAATAAATAGGGTTTTGTATGCATATTAGATAAATTGTAACTAAAAGAAGAACAAGAAAGTCTCCATTAACTTTTGGATTATACTGGCATTTCGGTGTGCCTGATGCAGTAAATTTCAGTGTTAACTTAAAGATGTGCAACAAACCAGTAAAATGCCCATCTCACTGTATCATTCTAAATGGGTGCGCCTCTGCAATGATCAGGCTCCTGATTTCTGCGAAAAAAGCCTAGGACCCATGATTAGCTATCGAGCCAAAATGGAATCTGTCGGTAGAATGTTCTTAAAATGCATAACAACACAATTTATGTTACTTATAATTTAAGCATGTTATTTATTTACTTTTTTTAAGAGGGAGCTGCTGCACTACACTGAACACGGTGTTAACCCACAATCCCTCTCCGCATCACCAATATCTCCATCATACTACTCGTCGACTATTGTCTCTTCATCCTCCTCCATCTTCAATCTCTCCTCCGGCTCCCCCTCCATCTCCTCCTATCACTCCTCATCTTGTCTATCCTCTTGCTCTTACTCTTCCTCGTCTCCCTCCTCCTCCTTCTCCTCCAAGTCCGGCTCCTGCTTATGCTCCTCTTCATGTTCTTGCTTTAACTTATCCTCATGCACATCATCATCGTCTAATTCAACATCATCACTGTCATTAGCAACAAGATCAGCAACAAAGACAGCATCATTGTCCTTTACTTGTTCTGAACATTGTTGTGACTGTCAAACCACAAAAGAGTCAACTGTACCAGCTAATGTTAGTGACATTGAGGCAACCAAACTATGTTCATTCGAAAAGTTGGCTCAAGTTGATAGTCCAGACCTGGGTCCTGATCACGAAAGCTCAAAATTTAAGTACCCTACCAGCACATCAATACCAATGTCGATATACTCAACTAGAAGACGATACAGAACTCATCCTAGCAGGACAGTAAGTTGCGCCGAGTCGCCGTTGCCTG